TGCAAGCAAATAAGAATGTGTTACTGGAGCAAGGATGGTATTTAGAAGACACTGACATGCAAACGATTTTGATGTATTTTATTTATTTATCTTGAAGAAATTAATACTTTTATTCCGTAATGATGCTTCAAGAGTGACCGTAAAGACCTTTATAATGTTACCAACAGTGTTGGGCAGTAACGCATTACTTAGTAACATAAAATATCTAAAACAAATAAATTGTTATGCATCTATTGCACAAAAGCTACATGAACTACTATAAACGATTAACAGGCGCAAGCGTATGCAGAGTTTCTATTTAGGCTATAACACGTGTTTGCAGAGTTGAGCAATGCAGTGCTGAAATATGTGTGTTCACGAATCCTCTCATTATAACACACGAATTGTAGACATTATGAAAGATTCATTATGCATATATTTATTGTGTTGTAACAGAGATTTGTGAGATTGTGTTGAACTGAGATGTCATTTAAAGATTATAAATGCCAAACCATGCACGCAGCAGCCGCTTGCTTTAGTTAAAAATAGCAATGTTATGTGAATGCTGATGCTTTAATAACAAATATTTATCGGGCATGCGCGTGTATGCTGGGATTTCATAAATTTCATGGAGAAAAAAGTAAGGTAACTAGTAATGTAACTAATTACTAATTACTTTTGAAATAAAGTAATCAGAACAGTAACACGATAACTTTTAATAGGAGTAATCAGTAATTTGATTACATTTTCAGAGTAACTTGCCCAACACTGGTTACCAAAGATGTCTATTTCAAATAAATGCTGTTCTTTTGAACTTCTCCAATTTTTTTTTTTTTCCGATTTCTACAAAAATATTAAGCTGCTCAACTGTTTTTAACATTGATAATAAGAAATGTGCCTTGATCAGCAAATCAGCATATCAGAATGATTTCTGAAGGATCATGTGACACTGAAGACTGGAGTAATGATGCTGGAAACTCAGCTTTTCATCACAAGAATAAATTACATTTTAACATACTCAAAAAGAAAACAGTGATTTTAGTTTTACTATATTTTTATTCAAATAAATGGAGCCTTGCTGAGCATAATAGACTTCTTTAAAAATCTTACCGACCCCAGTCAGCTTTTGAATGGTAGTGTGTATCCAAAGTGAATTTCAGTACACTTTTTACACGGAAAATCGCTCTGAAGAAAGGAACAAGGCTCAAATGTTGCATCAATTTTCTGGTTATCTTCAGTGATCCATGCCACATCACCCTAATACGGATGACATGAATTAAAATAGTCTATTATAGATATGATTACCTGTCATGCGTAGAGTCAAATTTGCATTTGTTTTATTCCTGTAGGTTTAGTGGTTTCTGACATCCAATTTTTCCTGGATTGGTGACATTTCTTTCCACAAGTCAGCGCTTCAGGGCCTCAAGACCAGATCTGATTTCTCTTTGATCTATTACCCTTATATCCATCTATTTTTGTTTTATTTCAAGGCATGTGGATTATAGTCCGGTGTTATTTGATTCAATAATTCGATTCTGAATTATTCACTTCAGCTAAATGTTTAATCATTGATTGCAGTGATGATTTCACCCATAAGTGCACTCTCACCTCAAGTGTCTCTCATAACAGTGCGCAAGCGTATGCAGAGTTTCTATTTAGGCTATAACACGTGTTTGCAGAGTTGAGCAATGCAGTGCTGAAATATGTGTGTTCACGAATCCTCTCATTATAACACACGAATTGTAGACATTATGAAAGATTCATTATGCATATATTTATTGTGTTGTAACAGAGATTTGTGAGATTGTGTTGAACTGAGATGTCATTTAAAGATTATAAATGCCAAACCATGCACGCAGCAGCCGCTTGCTTTAGTTAAAAATAGCAATGTTATGTGAATGCTGATGCTTTAATAACAAATATTTATCGGGCACGCGCGTGTATGCTGGGATTTCATAAATTTCATGGAGAAAAAAGTAAGGTAACTAGTAATGTAACTAATTACTAATTACTTTTGAAATAAAGTAATCAGAACAGTAACACGATAACTTTTAATAGGAGTAATCAGTAATTTGATTACATTTTCAGAGTAACTTGCCCAACACTGGTTACCAAAGATGTCTATTTCAAATAAATGCTGTTCTTTTGAACTTCTCCAATTTTTTTTTTTTTCCGATTTCTACAAAAATATTAAGCTGCTCAACTGTTTTTAACATTGATAATAAGAAATGTGCCTTGATCAGCAAATCAGCATATCAGAATGATTTCTGAAGGATCATGTGACACTGAAGACTGGAGTAATGATGCTGGAAACTCAGCTTTTCATCACAAGAATAAATTACATTTTAACATACTCAAAAAGAAAACAGTGATTTTAGTTTTACTATATTTTTATTCAAATAAATGGAGCCTTGCTGAGCATAATAGACTTCTTTAAAAATCTTACCGACCCCAGTCAGCTTTTGAATGGTAGTGTGTATCCAAAGTGAATTTCAGTACACTTTTTACACGGAAAATCGCTCTGAAGAAAGGAACAAGGCTCAAATGTTGCATCAATTTTCTGGTTATCTTCAGTGATCCATGCCACATCACCCTAATACGGATGACATGAATTAAAATAGTCTATTATAGATATGATTACCTGTCATGCGTAGAGTCAAATTTGCATTTGTTTTATTCCTGTAGGTTTAGTGGTTTCTGACATCCAATTTTTCCTGGATTGGTGACATTTCTTTCCACAAGTCAGCGCTTCAGGGCCTCAAGACCAGATCTGATTTCTCTTTGATCTATTACCCTTATATCCATCTATTTTTGTTTTATTTCAAGGCATGTGGATTATAGTCCGGTGTTATTTGATTCAATAATTCGATTCTGAATTATTCACTTCAGCTAAATGTTTAATCATTGATTGCAGTGATGATTTCACCCATAAGTGCACTCTCACCTCAAGTGTCTCTCATAACAGTGCTGGTGGTCAGCTACAATGACTCCTTTGTTATTAATGAGGTGAAAGATGTTTCAGTCATGTTATTTGAACAATCTGTCTTTCTTTTGCAAGTGCAGCCTCGACTTAAAGACGTTGAGAAGAACTGGGAGGTTCTCTCTTCACAGAGCTCTTGACCGGCACGGCTGCTGACTCAACTGAAGCAGACCATTTATTGTCTAATTACCTCTGGAGAGTGTAATCCCAGTCACCCCTCGCAGCTTCACAAGACCTTCTGGAATACAGCAGGATTACTTAGTACATAAAAAGAGTCGTCTGAGAGACTCGCAGGTAAAAGAGCAACAGCTGGTGACAGTGATTTTAACAAGTATGACGAGTTCTTGGATCGTCTGTCAAGTCCTAACCCTATCCGTTATTCCTAAGCATTAGCTGCCTCGAAAATCAGAGGCAAAGTATAGGTTGGTTTGCTAGGTGAGCAAAGACAGCTTAACTCTAAAGCTAAACCTTGACTGGAATGTTATTCCAGGACCAACAAGGATCTTGGATCCTGTCTTTCTTGGTGACAGTAGCGATAAGGAAACGTTTTATTATGTTTCCTGTTTCCGCTTCTTTCTTTTCACCCAGTCTGTTGTCTTTGGTTTTTCATTCATTCATGTTGTTTTTATTGTAAGTCTCTCCTCATAGCAAAGGGAAATTAAGGAGATCTATTTAATATCCCCATTGTTTCTCCTAGATTGCAATGAGATAATATGGAGCAAAATCAAAATGAACTTTTTTTATTTTATTATTACTATTTTTTTTTTTTTACTCTGAGGCAGAAATTGTCAGAAATCTCATATTTGTCTCCTAGAGTTTCATACTAGATTTTTCATTGTCTTGAACTGTGCCAAGGTTCTCAAAAGTCTGAAATCAGAAGTTCATCGATATTAATATACAAATTCTTCTAAGACCAAATTATCTTATCTATTCTAGCTATTACTTTTTGTTCATTTATTTTTAAATGTGATTATATTATGATGTATGATTTATTTATGTATTTTTATTTTTTCACCTAATAAATCTCATATTAGTTTTATATACATATAGATATAGATATATAGATATCTTTATTAATTTACTTATTTACTATATACTACACAAGGGATTTTATTTTATTTATATATATTTATTTATATTATTATATTTATTGTTTCCACCTAAGGCATTTTAGATTGTTTATATTTAAATTATTTACATATATATATATATATTCATTCCGTCAAACGATTAATCGCAATTAATCGCATCCAAAATAAAAGTTTTTTTGTATATATTTTTCATGTATATATTTAAGAAAAAATATATTGTTTATATATTAAATATATTTATATATGATAGAAAATATAATGTAAATATATAAATGTATATACATGTAAATATTTTCAAAATATATACTGAGTGTGTGTATTTATATATACATAATAAATAATCACAGTACTCATACATATATTATATATATATATATATATATATATCAACCTAATACATTTTTAAGTTTTTTTTATTATTATATTACATTACGTTTATTAATGTTTAGATGTAGATTTGTTTATATTTATATTATTTCTCTTTCTTTATTATTATTTTTTTCTTGTGTGTGTGTATTATATATCACTTATTTATTTTATTTTATATCTGAAGAATCAGAGTTGATACTTCAGTGAAGCATAACCATGCGAAAGTCTCCTGAGCTATGAAAGAGCAACATCTGAGCGACACATTTTCCTCTGGGTGTCTAATCAGTCATCTCTGATTAACTCGTATCATTGAACCTGCCACACACTGCATAGCAGACATTATACTGCGCCTGCTGGATCTCCTTCAAGTCCACCACTCCCTTTCCTCTGTCCTCCTTTTTCCTCCTCTCTTCCCTTCACATTCTTTTGAAGACTTTCTCTTCCTCTCTCCGACACAGACTCTACGAAGTCACTATAAGAGCTCGCGCTCTGCCTTGCTGTCAAACAAACACTTGTGTTCTCTCTCTCTCTCTCTCTCTCTCTCTCTCTCTCTCTCTCCTCCTCCTCCTCCTCCTCTCACACGCTCTCTCGTGTGTGTCTCAGTCGCTCTCCGCTGCTCAGTTCATCATGTTGGCTGGAGAATGCTGCGTGCGGCTGCGCTCTCTCTCCTGCCCTGGCGCGGGACGCATCTGTCCCACCCGCCGCAGCTGAGCACTCTCACGGAGGAGGACGAGCCAGAACGGCAGCAGCAGGACGAAGAGGACGAAGACGAAGGCTCCGGGGTCCAGCCGGACCCCATGTCCCAACAGACGGCGTACCTGCTGGAGGGTCCGGAGGACATGGTGGCGTCGTCCGGGGGGCTGAAGTCTCCAGACTGGGTGTACGAGTCCTACTACCGTATGAGCCAGCAGCATCCGCTCATCGTGTTCCTGTTGCTCATCGTCATGGGAGCATGCCTGGCTCTGCTCGCCGTGTTTTTTGCCTCCGGACTGGTGAGACTCTGTTCTTTATCCACCTACTCTTCTGTACTTTTCTGTCTCGCATTGGACCACAGTGTTTCTCAGGTGGTTCTCAACTGGTTTTGCTTCAGGACTTTGCATTGGACATCAAGTTGTGACCCAACTATTGAACCCATAACTGAATTTTCGCTCTGTCAAAATGCTTTTCTTTTACTTTGTTTAGTTTTGTCCATGGTTTTTAGGGTGAGGGCATATAGTCGTATAACCAGTTCATATTGGCATCTGTTGAATTTGACTGGCTTCTGCAAAGTTACCGATGAATTTGTGCCGAAATACCGTAGAGTTTGATTGTTCACACGGCCTTTGATGGCAATAGTAAAAGAGATTGGGTAGCGCTTTCTCCTCCCTCTTAAAAGTTGATAAGTCTGTTTGTTTGTCTACATAAACTATGCACAATTATGTGGTTACTTGCATTTAACGTTGCATTTTCACTTCTGTCTGCGACCCCATCAGAAAAGACATACCAGTTCAGGACCACTCTTTATATTTCACCCTAAAATTGACATTCGGTCAATATTTACTCACACATGTTGTTATGAAGTTGTATAATTTGTATTTTTCTGTGAAACACAAAAAGAGAAGTTGTGAAGAATGTTCTGGTCGCTCTTTTTCTTTTAATTACATTAAAATGCAATAGCTTTTAGTGAGTAATATAGACAATCAGTCAATACTTAATAGACGGTCCCTAGTAAAAAAAAGTAATATATTTAAAATACATTTATTTCATACTAAGTATAGTTCAAATCTTTTAACATATTTACTGACATATCGCTCCAGATTTGTTCCTCAAACAAAGCTGTCATATGACTTCAGCAGACTTGGCATATGTCATAAAAAACACTTGTATGACACTTTTATGTCAGTTTTGAGGCTTGAAGGCTTCCGTTCACATCCAAAAGAAAGTCATTGTAAACAGGAAGACAGTCATACAGGTTTGGAACAACATGAGGGCGAGTAAACAATGACTGAATGTACATTTTTGGGTGAACTATCCCTTTAAGTTGTTTTTGTTTTGTTCCTATTATGGGAGGCCATTCATTTTCCTCTCTCGTCCCACAGTTGTGGTTGTGGTAGCGCTGCAGAAATGGTGTTTTGGTCTATGAGAGAGTGTTTTTACCCTTGTGTGTGGAGTGCAGCACTCTCTCTTTCTCTCTGTCTGCGTGTGTGTGTGTCTTTTTCTCTCTGTGGCAGATTGTGTGAATCTCTTTGGTGAGAGAGCTGTTTCTGAGAGCGCCACTTCTGCAACCCTCATTTTCACCTGCTGTTTCACTCGTTCTCTCTCTGACTCTCTTTCTCTCTCACCAGATGCTCAGTTGTCTGTGTTTATGTGTAATGGGTTCAAAAGTATAAGGTCAGATTTTTTTTTTTTTTTTTTGGAAGAAATTAATGCTTGTATTCAGCAAGGATGCATTAAATCGATCAAAATTGACAGCAAACTCTTTTATGATGTTACAAAAGATTTTTATTTGAAAAAGGCTGTTCCTTTATTTACAAAATTATGTATGTTGGTATATTGTGTCGGCTGATGCTCATCAGAAATGGTTGCATTTTATTTTGTGAATTCACTGGAATGGTGAGAGTTCAGATTAGAGAAATAAAGCGCATCCCAAAGAAAGATCACCTACTGTATCATGATCACATAATCACCAGTTTTTAAGGGAATTGATAGCTCAGTCCATTGCAGAGTTTTTGGAGGGCTGAGATCAAAAGCGTAGACTGAATCCCCCATCAGCTAAAGCCCAGCACACTGTCAGCATGCTAATTAAAGCATTGCCACAAAAACAGAACAAATCTCAGTTCATCGACCTCGCTTATCATTTAGGCAGCCGCTCGTGATCATCCCTAGACCCCATTCTTTCAGATGGTAGCATATACTGCCCAATGCGCAGGGACCCGCTTCCTTCATTTACGCAGAGCTTGTGTGTGTGTGTGTGTGTGTGTGTGTGTGTGTGTGTGTGTGTGTGTGTGTGTGTGTGTGTGTGTGTGTGTGTGTGTGTGTGTGTGTGTGTGTGTGTGTGTGTGTGT